TCATTCTAACGAGGTCGGTATCTGCCTGAACCCTAATCGACTTTCAACTATTCTGATGTCGAGCTAGTGGCAGTTGACATAAGGAAGCAGTAAGATAAAAACTCGGCTTCCAGCCTCAACTACCGAGTTACCTCGTCACTACTTGAAGCACCGTGGTAGCCCAACAATGCGTGTACGTGATGTCTAGTTAGTCGTCTGCGCAACCGCTCGCCAGGTGTCATCCCATAGCTGTGTTGTTTCAACCCCTCTGGCCTAGGCTCAGTCACAGAACTTCCGCTTAACGAAGTGGAATCTTTTTTCTGGAGTTCTGCAACTATTAGAGGCTTATCGTATTATAAAAAGCTATACTTGATCAGTTACCACTATAACTGCCTGATGGGACTAGGGCGCAAAACGCCTACCGTACGCTTGTAGTAATTGCAACTTCTGAAGTTGTAGGAGCCGACCCAAACCGAATAACTGAGCGCTCGTAACGACTCCAGTCTACCTTGATTTGTTTAGCTGCATGTCGTAGGTGCATCGTACTGCACGCTCCCACCTTATAAGCGCCCTTAGCTCACGTTCGCCCGCCTGTAAGTGTCCGTAAACATTTATTTCCTCACAGACAAGAAATAATTAAACCGTCCGTCGTATTAAGAGTCTCATGAGCCTAGACCCCATTGATAAGAGCCCATCGGGCTCATACATCGCATCAGTGGGCCCCTCTGACAATTACCCTGTCGCCTCACCTAGTGCAAACATTTACTTAGCAAACATGCTTTCGAGATTTCCACACATTCAATCATTACTATGTTTTAAAAATCCGACCCACTTTCTCCAAATGACAACGATGACTGTATGGACCGTATTTATGCTCTGATGAACGATGTCCAGCTACGTTTTAAAATGACTTCTGTGGTCCCGGTTAGGCAGAGGCGTCCGATTCAGAGCAAAAATGCTGAATGCTAGTTACGGGCACACCCAAGGCATCTTAGCCGTCTGTCCTGTAGGATGTGCAATACGGTTGTAGTACATGTGGACCGTACGCAGTCTGACAACTCCATCCCGGAAATAATTCTCAGGCAATAGTGTTCAAAGACCTCCAAAACTACGATCATCCCCCACACGCACGACTTTGCGGAAGGGGTGCCTGGCACACACGGATTTTTATAACGATTGAGTAGCCGCGACGGGCAGAAAATAACTAAATTTTTTACAACCCTGCGACAACACCCGTTTGGACGATGATGTTGTTACCGTCTTTTGAACAGTATTCTCGCCTTGAGATATCTGAAACTGCTCATTCCCACAGATTGACTGTCCTAAGGGTTCCGATCTCCTGGCTATAAATATCGCGCTTTTGCAGAGCTTTCAAGTAAACCGATTCATCCAGAAAGTGACCATACAGCATAACAGGGTAGTATGATGCACCGGTTGTAGTTGATTATTGTGCTAATGACAACTCCAATATAAAATTACTCCCCCCCGAACAGTAACAACAAGGAAGTCGAAATATGCCGCCAAAGGTCTTGGAGGTGTCAACTTTAAAATATTATAAAAGGACGAAATAATTAAAATTCTACTATACAACAAGAAGCATAAAAGTGAACAAGAGTTACGAGGACGATTATCTACTTATCAGAAGAGTGCAGGTTGGGCAGTTGGTTTCGGAGCTCACGATTAGGGTTGCGGGTGTGCTCTTGGAGCAACTTAAGTATATCAGTTTGGAATTCCGCAGGCGCTTCTTGTTTGCCTAGGGTAGAAAAACGGGAGTCAAACGACGAGACAAGGAGTATGCGATGATGCAAACAAACAGATGGCACGTACCCGTTGCCCAATAATAGATGTCCCAGTCGTTGTCCGGTTTATTAATGAGGTTGTCGTAGGCATCAAGCTGCTGTTCATTCATCCCAGCAAGATACTTGTCCGCAAAAGTGCTGAATAAAAGGATTTGCGAAATTAAAACATACGTAGTGGACATACAAACTTAATCACACAATTAGAGAAGACGGTGTTATAATTTTGCCACGAATCACAATGTTCGCCGTCAAACAACGCCTCGATCGAATCCCCGAAGGAGATCTCAACAGATAGGGCGGAAGAATGGAAGTGTATTGACGTACTCAGCGTATTTACAAGGCCGGACTGTAATCGAAACAATCCGGTAGTGTCCTTGGGCGGTTAGCAAAGGGACTCATCTGAGTGGTTAGGCAGGGCACTAATCCCGGGGACCTAGCGCCAATCCCCTTTTCTCTACGAAACACGGAATTGACTTTCTACACTTTCATGAATCACAACTATACGCAA